TTCAATTCTAATCTTAATGGAGAAATATCTCAACTTTAAGTTTAAAATTTTGTTAAATATTGTAATGTAAATTTCAGTCGTAGAAAGCTATCGATGTCTCAAACAATCTTTATTTTTCTTAATGTTTGCTGACGCTAAAACTAATGGCGGAGAAAGTGTACAATTGACATCTGGGACATCTCTAAGAAATAATAACAAGTGACGTAGGAATCTTTTCATCGTAAGACAGTCTGAAATAGTAGCATAACACGTTTCAGCGCAATGACTCGCCCTATTTATCGAATGTGTTCATTTGCAAACCAGACTTGTAAGTACACGGCGCTTGTAAGCGTGGTCTGGTGATACTATATCTACGCTGGTCGTAGAAAAGTGTTATGAATATCTTCCTACGTGGATAATTATCACTGTAGTACGTGAAAAGCGGTGAAACTCTTCCTGTTCGTTTGCATCGTCGACGCGTTGTTACAATAATAAGTGCGGGCCTCACTTTTTGAACGAGCTGTACACCGGATATCATAACCAATTATTACATATTACCGTTTTTTATAAAATGCGGGCAGCGTTCATTCACACTGAAATTCTTTTGGCTTTCACAAAGACAGATTCTATTAAAATTTGAAAAACTCTAATTACTCAATTGTCGCGCTTCCTACTTTCTATGCGGAATGTTACATAGCCGTTCTTGTTATTTTTACATCAATAATTATACTTATTCTTCATTATTCCACGAAGATAAAATATATCTATAGTAATTATTTACGTATGGAGATTAATAAAATTTCAGTTACGTAATTATTGGAAAAGAAACCGAATAACTACAAAGAAAAATATTTATCAATTTATTAAAAATTATATATTGCATAAAGTGGGCACATATTTCTTCAGCATTTCTTTCTTTGTTCGCATCACTGTTGAATATTTAGAAATAATGATTCATCTTTAACAGTAATCAATTTGTCTGAACCAAGAAATTCCTCATTTTCTGCAGGAAGATATCAAAAGGCGGTTATAAAAAAGATGGCATCATATATTTAAAATTTCACACATGTCTGTTCATGCGAGACAGCACGATATATTCGACAGAAACAGGTTGTCTTAGAAGATTTTCCGTAATCGTGTTTAACGACGTGAAATCGAATCAATTGGCCGGCGATTTTCGTTACGTCAACGTCGGTGATTCTGATGCGCGTTTACTTAACGATTGAGCAATTGCTTGATAGCGTAATAATGTCGTCGCATTCGCGATCGTCCGCATTCTGAAGCGATCCCTGACAAGACGATTGCGCTCGGTTTCACCGAAGTCCTCGGCCGAAACTTTCGATGGGTCGCATACGCACAAGTTACCTTGATCTCTGATCAACAAGATTGCGTTGTCACTTTCGCGAATGTCTCAGAATTATCCGCTATTATCAGTTGCAGATATTTCGATAAATTTGGAATTTTCTTTTTCTTAGGAAAACTTTTGTTAGAGAGATGCTTACTTTGCGATTTTGCACCTGTGGCTCTCGAACATTTAAAAATTTATCGCTATTATTACCAGCTTGTATCTGAGCGCGATCACACAATTACGGTCTCCCATCGCTTCCACTTGCACTTTATCGGGATTCACTTTCCTCGATGCAAAGGAGGCGACCTTTGCAGAGGTCGCCAAGACCGCACTCGAGTTTCACCGGCACCGTTCATCTCGGTCGACGATTCCCTCGGTGCACAGTCGGACGATCAATCTGCTACTTCCTTCTTCCCGCGGTTCAGCTGAATTGACGCTTTAAGCGACGTTTGCACCGGATGAAAATGAGAATCGTGTTTATGGGATTGTAGATTTGTCTTACGAGCGTCGGATGATTTATTCGCGAAACGTGTACATTGTTGTTTCGCAGATATTATCGGTTCTCCAGCTCGCCGTTGTGCAGCTGATGCATAATCTAACGGCAATACAAGCGCGGTTTTGTTCGCCGTTAAAATGAACGATGTAAGCGCAGCCTTCCATCCGGCAAGAAGAGTTTATCTTTGTGAATCTAGGTTCTTCGAGGTTCAATATAGATCGTAATCATACACATATAAATGCACATGTACCTGCGCACAAAGATGTTTGTCTAGATATACAAGCGCCGGGTAATCACTTATGCTCGCGCCGATGCTAGCCGCGGATAAGAACGTTAGCCGAGTGGATGAAGCTTAATTTCCACATTTGAATGTCAGTGCTCGGATAGAATTAATCCTTTCACCGCTACCGTCGGCCACATCTTCCGATGACTTCTGCCGTCGTAAACGTGTCCCTTCGTGGCATCTTCCGAGACGCGATTCCGACTTTTATATACCTCGCGCGAGAGTTTTATTGTGATTGCCGGAAGTGAGTTACGGAAATCTTGAATTGAATTGTTCCTGAAATCAAATTTTTTTCTACGCAAAGATGATTCATTATTTTCGAAGTTCTTTGGTGAAGCGAGAAGTTATAGTGATTCCGGACCGATCAATTTTCGATGCTACAAAAATGTGGTTTTTGTTAGTTGAAAAGTTTAGTGTAAGAAAAAAAGTGAATCCATAATTTGTAATGTTTATTTTATACTATGTAATTTTGTGTACCAATCGTGATTTTTTCTTCTTTTTGCATTAAATTCTATAATTTAAGTGTTTTGTTTCTACTCATTGTTTTAAAAATTAAAGAAAATAATTTTTAAACATCGAGAAAAGTAAAATTATATAGATTTTTCTAAGTTCTTCTAAAGTAGATCAGATCATTATTATATTGAACTTTTCGACTATCATAAAGTTTAGAAGCTGTTTTCATTATCAGTAAATAATCGTTATATCGGAATTCCGTATTTGTGAAATAATAAAAAATGGCAGGAGCTGATTAGTAGCTGATAATAAACAGCTAATATCAAAAGAAAGTCGGTGATAATGATTGTGGAAGTAGCGAAGTTGCGTGGCAAAGTTGCGGCGCTTACAGGTTGAGTCCACATTTACTTCCTATATAATTTTATTCTTCGATAAATCGGCGATGATGATTTTTTCGTCATTAACTGCGTCTTTTCATAGAGGCAAGACTGCCGAACATCTAAACATCAGTAAGAGACTCATTACACTGTACGTATATCCATCTTCGCATGATTGCGCAATCATAAGTCGCTGAGAAAGTGCATCGCGCTTTGCGCGCTATTCATTTACTTCGCACATCGCGTCCGTGTCCGCCGACGCGTTGCATGATTAATTGCTGCTAGGTTGATGCCAGGCGAGATCCTGCCAAAACTGCAATTTTTCCGCCAATACGCGGATTTTCCTCAATACGTTGCTAATTGGCGATTACTATCAACGGCTAACAATAGTGCTTTAATAGTTAATTACCGTCAAGTTTTATCTATTGTTTTTATCAAAATCTGGGAAAGAAATAAATCTCACAATTTCATAAATTGATTAAAAAAATAAAAATTAATACGTGCAGCATAAAATTAGTGGCTTTAAAGAAATTTTGCTTAATTATCATACATTATTTAGATAACAAAATCTGTCGAAAAAATTATTAATTTTTTAATTAATTTTTACACTTATTTTGTTCAGATAATCAAGAAAATAAAAGCAAAACAATGTGTGCTTATTCTTTTATTAGGAGAAATTGTAAAAAATTTGATGAGCTAATGATAAAACAATCGCATCGATAATTGACTGCGATTAACAATCAAATGACAATCAATTCGAGCGAGCGTTTTGTGATGTAGCAGCTCACACGAAGCGGTCGCCCATAACGAACGAATGATGACCTGGGTCGCTCTCACGCGTCTGCCTCTCAGCTATTCACTTCCGCTAGTGAAAGGTGCATGTACTGTAACTGGGGACTACGATAAAATGCACTTACGTGCATCCTCGTGGCGCGCATCATTCGAGCCAAGTACATCAACACTCAGTTAGCAACAAGCAAAGATTTCTTGGATAGATAAGAACTTAGATTGACGCATTGCATTGATTAGAATTCTATTAAAATGTAGTCGCATGTGTGTTGAATTTTTAGAACTGCAACACGGAAATATTATAATTATTGCAAAGTGTAAATTATAGGAAATAGTGACTGAAAAGATTTTTGAGAAAATTACTGAAAAGCTAAAAAAAAATAATCTCAGCTCGATGCATTTTTTTCTATTGGATTTTTACAAAGTATTAGAGAGTAGTATAAGCTTCGAATTTCCTTCACTCGATAAGCAAATACATTGTTATGTAATTAATCGTACGTTCTAGCTCACGCTTCGTATGTATCATAGGCAGAAATCTAAGCAATTGGTTTGTTCAATCGATTTCAAAGAGAGAAAGAGAAACGCGAATAGATCTCTGAATAAAATATTATTGTTCTTGATAGCAACTCATTTCCTGAATCGCAATAAGCGCTTTAAATCACAACGTATCTCATTAAAAGATAATGTTCTTGTTATAATTATCATTTATCAGAATAAATTTTTAATAGAATTATTATTTATCAAAGTTCTTTGTTCTTATTAAAGTTATTTCTTTCATATTATACAAAGTATCTTTATTTGTACAGTTGTCCAAAATTCAATATTTTAAAATATTAAATTTGTTTGCATGCAAACCAGAGTAAATTAGGACATCATAGAGGTGTGACATATATTTACGTACGATCACTTGAGAAACCGGAATCTGCCATTGGCCTTGATATCACATTTTTGAAAGAAGATACCAATTAAAGAATCGCGTAACGACTATTACGCAAAAGCGAGAATTATTCATCGATCTACATATTTTATGGCCTTGGATATTAATATCAAGCTTCTACGAAACTCGAATTTAAAACGCAGCTGTATTTTCTCACTACATATTTCATTTGTATTTAAAGAACTCGTTTGTGGATACAATTGCTTGATTAATTATCGCAACTTAACAACAGTGTTATTACATTATATACCAATAAATTTACGTTATATTAATATAAATGTTATATTAACAATTTAAATACGAAGCAAAAATTTGTTACATTTTCAAACAGTAGAAAAATATACAAATTAAAAATATATAAAAGATATTTAACATATTTAATAACGTACTTAAGCCTTCAAAGATTAGAAGACTTCTAAATGTTTTTGCAAGATTTTTTAGATATTTATGATGTATATAAAGCTTATGTTATTTACCTAGAAATAATTTTTATGGCACAAAATGATTACACTGGCTTAAATTATAGTATTCTTACATTATTCTGTTCTATAGAATTTTTAAAATTATATTTCGCAGCTCTGGCAAACAGACTAGCTCTAATTTATACAAAAAATTAATCTACTTTATTTTTGAATTTTGTAAACATGACGCGAATTAAGAAAAAAGCATCCTTCTGAAATGTTGTATACATAGCATAAGGAAAAAACATAAAACCGGGAAAATATTGGCAAAATCTCATCACGTACGGTTTTGTGACAGTTGTCGCAATTTCTAAATGACTCTATAATTTCTAATGACTAATAATCTCTAATGACTGCGTAAAGTCGCGTGCCAAATCGTGCAACGAAAACTTAAGGTAATCATAATGTAATGTTGCGTCATAACTGGCTTAAATCCAATCGAGATTTATATTTATATTTTTCGTTTACCAGATACGATATTTGTTACTAGTATAATTATAAAAATCAATTTAAAACATTGAAAGTAAAATCGAGTAAAATTGATTACACAGTTTTAGCTGAATTTTGATGTAAAAATTACCAGGATGCAAAATTTTTCACGGAAAGAGTCAAACTTCTGATCTAAAACAAAATCGAGCTTCGTCGCGAATCATCAAATAGAAATTACACAATCACAGGATCAGACTCGGGCTTGATCACCATCCTTCTTCTTCTGCAATTACCAATGATAGGCAGTGCTTTGTTCTTGCATTTCTTTGTCCATCCGTCCCACGCTTTGAATCCGTCTCGGTTGACAATTATTTTAGCGCACTCAATGTCTTCCTGTATATTATCATGCAGGAAATCCTCGCAGCGTTTGTTGCAAATGCCACCTTTACGTCCTCTGGTGCACCACTTGGCGCTGTTAATCTGTAAGATACCGTAGGAGTAGCTGGACGCTGTCTTTGGTCCAGTCACCAGTCGTGTATCCATCCTACTTTCGCTTTGTACCAGACAGACCCAATTGCTAAATAAGCTCCTACTGATTTTACTTCGCTCCAACTCTTTTACAAGCTCGCACTGCGTGAGTATTTTACCATCCACCGACGAATAGACAGTTATGACCATCAGGATGAACAAGATCCACACTTTCCCCATTTTTCAATAGAAAATCGCCAAAATGATGTGGCGATTATAAAATGGCACGAAAAAAGCAATAGTTGCTCGAAAAAAGCAATAGTTGCTCGATCAATTGCTGATAATTCACTTGATTAATGTCTTAATGACTTTCTAAACAAATATTTATGTTGAAAGATATCAAGTGAAGATGAAAATAATTGCTACATCTGATTTGACGCGCAACTTGAAGTTTGTCGAGTGTTTATCGTTGATTCACAATTGCTTTTAGCTCTTAAGTAGGCAGCAGGCACTTAAGTTTTTAATTGTTTCTGAAATTATCTGAACAAATACACCTTTTTATCTGTTTGAAATTGCGATAAATTGACTTCGTGTTTTACTTCGCGGAGCGAAACATTGCGCGAGATGTTGACGACGATCGCACTGACGATTCACGCGAACATTTGTCTTATAAATGCGCCGTCTGTTGCTTATGCCGTGAACGATTACAGGCGACCTTGAAGGTTGTGCGATACGCTATTATCTACTACCGCCGTAGTAAAATGTAAACCGAGAGACTGTCTTCCTACTTCACTTTGCAACTTTGCATTTTTTCTTCTTTTTTCTTGCAAAATGTTGGAAAGGGCGTTTTAAACGCTATAAAATGCAATTACATTTTGCATAAAATCAATTCAGGCAATTGCATATGTTTAACTCATAAAAGGTGCGCGTCATAATCTGTGCATTAATAAACCGTTGCAGAATAATTATTGCGATACTCATACTTTCTTTTCTAGTCGCAATAATAATTTTGCATTAATAAAATGTTTTATAAAAAAATATATGCACTAATATCATCATCAATATTATTAAATGCTACATTATTGAACCTTATTATATGTTTTTAATTTTCAAGCAGTGTAATTGCAGCTGATAAATGTATTCATTATTCAAAGAATTAACAGACGTATTATTCGAGCGCACAATTAACGCTTGAAAGAACATGTTTCATTGATATAATAAAGATAATATTATATAAAAATGCGACAAGCATTATTATATAATATTTATTATTTGCATTATTATAATGATATCTTTAAATCACAATGTCATAATTATCTATAATTCAATTTTACAAAATATAATGTAAATTATAATTATCATTGTTTATTGCAAAACTAATTGTTTTTTGCTTTTTTTTATTTCTTTAAATTCGGAAGTCTCGTAAGTTATCACTTGTGAAAAAAGGAATATAATTTGCGATAATACATTCATAATAATATCTTTACGGATACAAATAACAACAATCTATGATTTATTATTACGCTCTAAATTACAATGTACTCAGTGTGCATAGTACAATGCATCACACAAAGAGATCGCGCTCTTTTCCGAGTAATATTTTGTTAGTATTTATCATTGAAGAAATCATATTTTACAAATTATCATTGTTTACTACGTTTCCAGTTATTTGCTTTTTCTCTGTTTTACTTAAACCCCACTTAAAAACTTGATAAGTTATCACTTAGAATTCGCGCTAACTGATGCAAAATTGATTCTCTTCTCTACGCTGCGTTTCCTATAATGTAGCTATTTCTGATTGAAGTTTGACCCCACGCGCTGGTTACAAAGTTTTCTGAAAACTCTTTCCAATTTTCTAGAAATTTCTTCGAACTTTTTAGAAATCTACGAATTGATGATATTGATTTTTTAATATCATTCTCATTAATTTTAGGACAAAAATTATAAAAAATAGAAGCATATGTAAAAGAAGGATATAATCTATTTTTTGTTTGAAGTATGATCTTCTGTTTATCGCATTTTTATATAACAACAAGAAAGAGAATAGCGAACGATCATCGATAGAGAACGAAAGGTTTCGTTATTTAAGACAACTAAGAAAAAAATACACGAGTTTTTAACGGTGGCGACATTTTTTTTAATTCTTTTTCTACAAAAGAAAGTTTTTATACAAGTATAAAAAGATATATGGTTAAGGAGTAAGTGTCAAAATATATAAAAGATAGTGTGTATATGTGTGTATTTTGTGTACGTGTACGTTGCAGCGGTGTCTATCGTGTTGCGATATCGATTCTTGCGATATTCTCAACTCATTTGACAAACTTGATCGAAAAATTCTTCCCTTGTGTTTTACTATCTTCCAACATTCTGAATCAAGGCTTTTGATTAGTATTGATGTGTAATTATTTCGGCGAAACAAATGAACCAAATGAAGGAGTGGATGTTACGCAGCGATAGAATTTTGTTTACAAAACGCTTGATAGTGCGCCGCTCATGTCTTTGACTCATTGGTCTCGTCTTTTTCCATTCGTATGTTCCATGAATACCTTGGCGATGAGTGCGAGAGAGAGCGTTTGTGCCGCAGCGGGTGTATGTGTGCATATCTGCAACTAAGTAATTACTAATCCTGCCTCATTGAGATATCACCGATCTTCGATTCTCTGAATTCAAAGACGACTATGACGACTGATGTGATTTCGGTACAATAGGTTCTGGCACTGTACCAACTGCCTAGAATAGTTTTGGCGAGTAATCATCCAGCAGAGAAATGATAAAACGAAAAAATTGGTCATGTTTACTCCTGCGGTATCGACTTGTCGAAGCGACGACTGTTGGATCCTCGACAAGTCGCGCACGGCTGCTGGTTTTCCGCGAGTCTCGGGATACTTCGATTACGTTAAAGCGACGACTATTTAATCCTTAACGTATTAGATGCCATCCCGCAAATTTACATTTCTGCCTCTTACGCGTTTTTTCAGCATTTGATTTTTCTACTGGCTGGATTCTGACATTGCACCTGAGGGATGTATTCATCATTTAAGACCGCAAAGGCGAGCATTCTTTCGACGATCGAACGCTATTCGTGAATTTGTAGCGCGATAATCGAATTCTGGCTTCGACGACTTTCCGAACTACGAGCTTAGAGAATGTGTCATTTCGGGAGAAATTGGTCCAATGATTTGTTAACAGTCGTAATCATCTTCTTCAATATACATTTGATCTTTTCTATTTCTATGCGTTTTCGCATGTTTCGGTTGCATTTCGAAAAGTAGTCGTCGCCGGTCATTTTAGATTGTCTTGTTTTCATCTGCTATTTTCCTTGCCGTAACGCGTTGAAAGGATTGTTATTTGCTGCTTGGGGTTGACCGGCTGTCGGCGCACCACCTCCTAACCCTGCTGGAGCTGCTTGCGCGGTCTGTCTGAGTTCAGCTACCTGCTTCCCTTGTTTGATGCTCTCAAACTCTATGCCTACGACGCGGATCTGATAACTGGGCACGCCGGATTGTGGGGACGGGGCACCGTATTGCGGCGACGGGGCACCGTATTGCGGCGACGGGGCACCATAGCTGGAGCTAGGATATCTACCTCCACCTCCACCTCCACCACCACCGCCGAATCCGCCGATAGATTGTGATTGTAGTTCTTCTCTCAAAAGAATTTGTCGGATGTGTTCGAGTAGTGCGCTGTCCACGGAGGCGCCCTCATTGGTTTGGAATCCAGGTGATACGTGGATATAATCGCCGCTGCCTCCGAAACCGCCTCCGAAACCGCCTCCGAACCGCCTCCGAAACCGCCACCGAACTGCTTATACCACCACCGCCTGTTGGTCTGCTGTAACTATAACCGGAAAGCTGGGCTAGCACACACCCTGCCAGACCGATAATCATACACTATAATGAGAAAAAATAAGTTTATTACTTTTTAGTTTGAGTTTCCATTAATTAGAAGATAATTTAGATCATTATTGTTTATTATCTTAAATTTGTTGAATCCATTAAAGTAAGCCAATCGTTTAATGCATTGTTCTGATTGGTTTACTTTAATGGATTTAGCAATTTTAAAATAATAAGCAATAATGATCTGAAATATTTTCTAATTAATGGATTAAAAATTCACATTGGAATTATTGCGTGACCGCGAGGCTTTTTAAGTTCCATTTCATTAAAGATATGTATATATTTATGTGATAATTTTTTGGATATAATATATGTATTTGCGACTTATAATTTTGACAAATCTTGTTGTGAAGAATATGAAGCTCTTCAGATTTCTATTTAAATTTGCTGATAAATTCAGTCATTCTTATTTTATTTGATAATCTGATGTTAAAAATGTGTGTTGAAATTTCGTAAGCGATTTCTGTAGATCCAAGGAGAATTTTACTCCGAAATTTCATTGTTCTGTTTCGTTTATCTTGAAATAACTGATGACAACATTGTTATTAGGTCACAGATTATTTCAAAAGCATTGGACAAATATCGTAGCTCCCGCAATCCCCAATTGAGTGAATCGAATAGCTTGGCTTATAGAGAGTGGAAAGGTCAGTCTGCGAGGCGCAAGCCTAACGAGCAAATCGTTACGTAGTCGGATTTTCACCAGTATAAAGTTTAATTTTTTTGTTCAATTATGGGTAACTTCGCTTATGAAATCGTCTTTCATCTGCGCTTGTCTTAAAATCTAGTTGTGACGACTGTTCTTGTGCTGGACCACGTTCACAGTTTAATCTATCTTTTTGTTATTATTTTCGTTTTGTCAGATAAATTATTGTGCAAGTGAAAATTGAATGCATTTGCCGTATCATTTCTATTGTTTAATTTTTTTGAATCACTATTATTGTAGATGGATTTCTAACTAGCCAGAATTGTTTAATGTTTGACATAATCCTCGCAATTTGAGCCTCAAAATTTAAAATAAAACGACAAATTATAGAAATGTATAAAACATAACAGGGTGTCTCAGATCGAACACACCAGAATGGCATATTCCTGAGATTATTTTGTGATAAAAATTTTAATATCAAAATATCGAGGCTATAATAGTTTTCAAATAAAAAGCATTTAAAAGTATCTTTCAGGAATCCATTTATTTATTAAATACAGATGTAAATTTATGTATAACGAAAATAAAAATAAATTGGTATCTGAAGATACGTTCATTACTGTGCGATGCCTGAGCGCGCGAATTTAAAGCAATTTGATTAATCAACTTTAAATGCTTCCCATTTAAAAACTGTTATAGTCTCGACATTTTGATATTAGGATTTTCATTTCAAAATAATCTCAAGCATGTGTCATTTCAGTACGGTGCGTTCAGTCAGGAATACTCTGTATATTAAAAAAAGCATTTATGAATTATTTGTTATCTTTCAGAGGATTATTTTTTAAAATATTTTTTTTTTAAGAAAAATAGAGATATGATATAGAGATATGATATTAAAATTATAAATTAATGATTAATACAAAAATAAGGTTTTCAAATTTTAATCAATAATGAATGTTTTTGGTAAGTGTAATTAAATAGTCACCGATTTAATTAGCGGTTAATTTCTTTTTAATATTTTTTTCATCAACGCAGAACAAATTCAATTTTGAATCATGATGTTAGATAGCGTTTTCCACATTTTACCTTTTCACTTTCGCATCGTCGTTTCGCATGTCATCGTCGTTCCGCATGTCATCGTCGCATTGCATCACGAAATTCAATTTAATCTCAAAAAATGAGAACGAGAATCAAAAAGAGAACAAAAAAGAAAACGTCATTAGATGCTTGCCATTTCCGCGAGGTAATATGTAACACGTTTCGTGAAAGATCAGAGACGTCAGCTCCATTTTTAAAAAATTAATATTTGCTTTTCGTACTGCTGAAAAATCTCTTACTTCATCCTCCCTTTATGTTTTCTTGTCACCTCTTTCACTCACTCGCGCATCTGTGCACTATATTTTCCTACTCGCTTTTTCTTCAACTTCTTTTTTCTTTTGTTTTGCACGTACCGTTTCTTAGCATAAGTAGTATACAAAAAAAGTTTATTTACCGTAATCAGAAGGTTCATGTCAGCTTCTGCGGTTCTACTTTGTTCTGTGAGTTCGTAAGTAGTAGAGGCTATTTATACCACCTGGAAAAGGCAGGAAGGTGTACAAGAAAGAAGAAGAGACGGGGGTTTCTCTCGCGTGAGAGTGATTCAGTTACTATTTTATACATATATGTATGTATAAATGGATATAAACCCATATCCATATATATATATATATTATATATT